GGTGGGTTCGAGCATGTCCCAGCTCAGGCCGCAGTTTGGCATCATCCGCCATGAGGCCAGGGTGACCAGGGGGTGCCCAGGTCCCAGTACACTAAGGCCCTTTGAGGGTTTTTCCAGCAGGAACTTCGTAGTGCGAACGGAGTACTTGCGAGTTTGGTTTTTTTTGATGCCTGAAGCATCCGCGGCCAAGCGTCAGGACACAAAGAGCCATTCCATCGTACTGCCCGGGGTCCTGGCTTCAAATGCTGCTTTCTCCCTGCGTAGGGCGGTTCTAAAACACAGGGCACAAAAGGCGAAGGGAGAAACGTGAGCTGACGAAATGCATATGCCGAACTACCTACACCACCCAGGCATTAAGTGCGTCATGGTGGTCCTGACAAGCACTGAGCCTGTGAACATGTGCCTCGGATTGCAACTCTGTTGTTTTTTGTTTTTTGGATGTGTTGTTTTTTGTTGTTTCTTACGGTTACTCAGGTGATGGAGAGGGAAGGAAGAAAGAAAGAAGGGAAGGCGGGAAGGAAAGAAGGAAAGCAGGAAGGGAGCAAGCAAAAAAGGTTGTAAAGTGGGGATTCTGGTTGTGGTTAATCTCCTCCCCCCCCCCGGCCACCCCAACCACGGGAGGGGGGCGGGGGGCGGGTTACCTTCCCTTCAGGGGGGACGGGGGAGGGGGGAAGGGGGTGGGCAACACTGCACCAAATGAACAAGAAAGGAAATAACAAACAAGTAAATAGATAAATAAATACATAAATAAATAGACAAATAAGTAAATAAATAAATATACATATGTATATATATATATATATATATGTATAGGTGCCTACCATATTTATGTTTATGTGTATATAGATACCGTTCATACATACACTAAGTGAAAGAGCACAGGAAATGAGTGTAATAATTAATGCACACTTAAAATTGGCCGTTTACATTTAATCGGGCGCTCGATTAGTCCTTTAATGTGCCCACCATAATGAATATTCTAATAATAGCAGCCCTTATAAGAATTGCCTTCTGGCCGCCAGTAAAACCCTACCATATTTATGTATATATATATATGTACATAGATACCGTTCATGCATACACTACACCTGACCGCCAACTTTCAGATCAGTCGATGCTCTTTGGTGATTGGTGGCGTGGTGCTGGGTGCAGGAAAGCTGAACAAGGGTCGTTAACTTAGGTATGCTGCTTGCGTGATGAATAGACCTATTTCAAAGGGGGCACTGTTGACCTTCTCACGAACACAATGACAACAGACCAAAAGAAACGAACAGAAACCTCAGGTGTGCAGACAGCCTGGCTGTGATCGTGCCGCTTGCGGCGTGCCGAATGGACAGGTAGGGGCCTCAGACTGAACTAGGTTTCCGGTCCCGGATTTCCGGGCTTGGGTAGAACCCACACAATGGGAAGTTTTGGGCACCAGCAGCCACTACCAAAATCCGAGCTTTGGTCCATGGCTGGCCTTTCGCTGGATGGGTTGCTCCCTACTAATTGCTTAAGAACCCCGAAAAAATAGAATGTTCTTCCTTATTAAGCGGAACATAGGGGTTCTTTTTCTTTTCTTTTGGGGTTCTTAAGCTTGGAATTGTGGCTCTTGGGGGGGGTGCAATGATAAGACAGTCCTACATGTTTAGAAACAACAGCAACACCTGGTTTTGTGAGCCGCTTTTGCCAGGAGCTGAAGAGCTTGAGCTTGGATCCGGCACGTGAAGCACCCCGTGTGCACAGGCATATCTCGCCAGGTCCCTTGGCTCAAGGGCTTCGTGCTGGGAGTTCGGGTTCTCGCAGATTTTTGCTGAAACCCCTCACAAGTTCCATTAACGCCTCGAGCTCTAAACGAATCCCACGATCGGAGTTTCATGTTATGGTGAAGCCAATCATCTTTGCACGTGATAAGTGTGATCTTGGATGTTCGCAATATCATGCCCAATTATTTCATCGAGCACGGGTTTCGCCGGGCTGCTGAATGAGACTCCTTCAATTGGGCTTACAAGATGAGGTGTCAGCATGGTTGCCGAGCTCTCGCGGCGCTCCTGGCGCCGAAGTGGCTTCCGAGTTTGTTGCATGGCAAGCATCAGCTCATGGCTTCAGGGTCCAGCAATGTAAGGTCTGAGGAGGCTGAGGTGAACATCTTGGTGCATTGCCTTTTGCAATCTGTTTCCAAGACTGTCGCGCCAAAGCAGACGTTTTTTTTTTCTTTTTCCCCTGCCGTTGATCGAACTTGAGGAACCTCTCGGTCAGCAGTGAGGAAGTCTAGTTGCTAGTTCAGAGGGTCAACGACGAGATAGTGACGGCGAAGCAGATCCTCCTGCCCAAGCAATTGCTGAAAGTCCCCAAGCTCTTGAGGTTGTTGGATGACATCATAATGGATCTGGGTGCAGCGCCGCTGAGTATTGCTTCTGTGGCGCTGATGTTGTGGCTTGGGCGCCTCGCAGATGTCAGAGCCTCTAAATGATGGGCTTTTGGAGGGAGTTGTAGATTCTATCCGTCTTCGGCAGTAGGGCCAGGATGCATGAGCCACTTCTGCCGTCCGAACCAAAACCTTCCATAGTCTTTCATGCCGAGGTAGCCGCTGCATATGCATGGTGAGAAGAGTGAGCGAAACTGGGCTGGACATCCACATTGCGAAGCCGGCTTTGATCACCAGTGCCCCAGCCAGCAACTAGCCGTGCTGGCTTTAAGCTTTAAGAGGTTATCAGCTGCAGCGCTTGTCTTCAGAGCATGTCAGGTTCAGGGCAGAGGTGAGTTCCTTAGCGAGCACCAAGGACATGCCAAAGGCAATGCCAAGGGCCATGCCAAGGGCTATGCCATGCTACGCCACCTCAGCTTGCGTGTCGCCTTTGCGGTGAAGCTGGCCAGCACCCTGCATGCAATGCGTGAACCTTCCCTTAGCCGCCTTAGCCTTCAAAACTGCCCTGTGACCTTGGGTTGTAGTCGACGCGAACGAGTGAGAGAGGATGCAGTGCATATATCAATCGAGCCCTCGTCTTGCTGATCGTGACCTGCATAGTCGAGCCCTGAAACCCCCATGATGATGGTGATGGTGATGATAATGCATGATTATGGTCATGATTATGGTGTTGGTGGTGCCACGAACGCTACCCGGATTCGCTGTTCAGGTGCTGGGCCTCGAGTGCCTCGAGTTCCTGGTGGAGTGTGCCATGGAGGTCAACGACACAGCAAGCCCAGTTTAAAGGCTTTCGGCGATCTCTCCGGCGAGTTCAGGCTGAGGGCTCAGGCATCGGATGATGTGCCGTGCTCCTGTCCGGAGCTGTGGAAGGACTTTGTGCAGCAGCACGTTGCTGCCCCAAAAAGCCATGTGGACTCCCTGCACGGACCCGAGTTTTTAACGCCCCGTCTAGTCGCCTTTGACATGCAAAGGTGCGTGGCCCAGTCGCTGATTTGTTGCGACCGGGTGCGCGAAAAACCAGCATGCACCTGTCGCTGCTCGTGACCTGGGTCGTGCTTGCAGCCTTGAGGTGAGCACCTTGACCTGTGCACACCATGACCGTGCTCGAAAACAGCAGGAGCTGCATTGGTCCAGCCTGCATGGTGACGAGCCCCTACTCGGTCCATGCGCCGAATCCCTGGAACCTCCTAGGACAGGTAGATTCCACGGTGGCAGTGAGGTGCTCCTAGGAGGTTCTAGGCCGAAGCAGCTGAAGCCCCTGAAGCCTAAGTTTCAATCTGGCGTCGGTACTCTACTCAGCCACGTTGTTGCTACGGCTTCTTGATTTGGATACTTCCTTTGTTGGGCCTCCCCCCGTTGGGCTTGCCCGAGTTGGGGAAGATGGGCTTGCCCCCTCGTCAGCAAACTCGTCAGCAAAGGGAGTAAAGACGTTGCATGCATCTCTTGGATTTAAGGAGTGCTCTCACTCCCTAACATCCCCCAAGTTCAAACTATCAAGCTATGAGCCCTGCACTTGCAACTCTGACCTGTCCATGTGTTCACCAGAGATCTCCTGTCCTCCTTGTTGCGCCTTCTTGTGCCTTGTTGTTCCTTGTTCCCGCCACAAGCCTTCATTGTCAGGATGCTTGGGTCTAATCGCAGCTGTTGCGAACTTCGGCACCAGTGAGTCAAGGCTGGGACAGGCCAAGGACCGCCTCACAAGGCGCACCTGCGACCGCACGCGAGCCTTGTTGCCCCTGATCACCTGGGCGTCGCTCGAGTCCTTTCAGCCTCTGCCTAGCAGCAACATTGCGCAGCATGAAACGGTGACTGTGCCGCAAAGTACTACGTTTCGTCTCGCCGACATGAAGGAGTAATCCAGAATTTCATGAAGACCTGCGAGATTACTGCCGTGCCGGACCTGCTGCTATAGAGCTTCAGCCCACTTCGAGCCAGTCTAGTGTTGACATCCGCGGCATGATTCCGCACCTGACCGGTGCGCCATCTGCCCCACCGCCCAAGCCCCCAAGCCGAAGCCTGCTGCCATGAAATCGGGTGCGAATGGTGCGAGCACAGCAGCCTCCGATCTGCCAAGGATTCCTGTCAGTGCCTGGAGCGCACCCTGACCATCCTGTCCCTGTTCCTCCCATGCAGTTTCCTCAGCTCTGGGGCACACAAGCTCCGTCACGGCACTCGCGTCTCTAGCTCGGAAAGTTAAGTCTCAATGCTCACTGTTGGCCTTCGTGGTCTCTTAGTTCGCTGGGGGCGGGCCGGCATGGAGACCTGGAGCTGTTCAGCACTTCGACCCTGCCGTGTGAGTTTTCCGACAGGAGGGCTCTTGGCATCTTGGAGGCTCCAGCACAAAGGAGCGCAACTGCCAGGTCCAAAAGGAAAGTTTCAAAGCCAGTCGTGCCGACGGGCTGAGAGGCCCGCGACCTCCTGCGACCCTGAGCCCTGCTCCTGTGCTCCTGCGTGCTCCGTGCAAGTGATGTCCGTCTCAAGCACTTTCCGAAACCCGAGCACTTGAAATCCCGACTCCTGGTCGACCTCTTGAAGGCCTAGGCCAGCAGCTTTCAGGTGTGAAACGCGCTCTCAGGCGAACCAAGTACTGATGTACTGGGACTGGGACACAGAATGCGAAGAGAAACCTTCCGCTTCACCTGCAGCCAGCGCGGCCGGGGCCCAGCCATCGCCGGCACCAGTCAGACTGGGCCAGCTGACTGTGGTCACCCTTGGCAGCTTCTCAAGTGCCAAGCCTGCACGCAGGGGCAGGGGTGAACGCGCATGTCGCTCCCGGCCACGCCGACGGGCTTCATGTTCGTCTTGCCAGTGTGCGGCCCCTGATGCTTTTGCACCAGGTGCTTCTGGACCCTGCTTCAAGGGCTTTGCTTCCTTCCTCCGGACCATTCTCTCGATGTATGCTTGCCGATGCCATCAAGAACCGAGGATTATCAAAGACACTCGTGCTGCCCGCTTCTCCGGCCTCTCGCAGCGATTCACTGTGCGCTCGATCGGGAGACTGCCTGCTCGGGTCCCTCAAGTCCCGGCTGCATGCCTTCAGGATACCCACAGGCCTGCACAGACACGGCAGCGGCTGATGGCGCGCATCGTGGACAACTCAGGAGGGCACGACACTGCAGTGGGGGAACTGCCTTCGACTCGGTTGTTGCGGCTGCAGCCTCTGCCACACCTGCAACGCCTGCTGTCCTGCAGCAGCATCCAAGGAGATCTGTGACTGGAGCACAGCAAAAATGGCACATTGTTGCCCATCACCTGCCGAGTCAGTATGCAGGTCTATGTGGCATGCTGAAGAGCGCCATGAGTGCGGAAAGTTCTTTGCGGTTAGCCTTGCGCACGTGCCCCCTTCATCCAGACCGAAGGGGCCGAATGACACAACGGCGATGGAAAGACAGAGAGCGCCTGAGGCACACAGGATAGAAGTGCCCATCTGGGAACATCCGCGTCGGAGAGTCACACTTCGGGCCCGGCGCTTTCACCATTGTCAACCTCTCCTCTTGCCTCGTGCCAACTCGCACGTCTCGCGCCTTGCAAGCTTTGCAAGGCAGCTGTGAGCTTCAGTGTCAAGGTGCCGGGCACATGCGCTTGTAGGTTGCAGGCACGCTCTGCACGTAGCCATATTGTGGGGGAGCTCATGGAGCTACCAGTTCTGTGGCGAAGACGCCGCTGACAGTTCCCCGCAATCGGCGACCGGCACTGCGCGACGCTCGAGACTCTTCGGAAGCTCGAGCTTTTGGAGCCATGCCCGGCCCAAGGTGTCGAAGCCACACTTGCCGGAGTCTCCAGTGCCAGAGTGAACGATCTAAGTTAGAGTCACGTAGAGTAGCTGGTGGTTTGTTTAGCATTGGTTCTTTGTTTTTGCTTCAATGGCCCCAAGAATCTTCGCCTTAAGCTCAAGATCTATTTGGCCCTGCAAGCTTTGGAAGTGCCGCGGAGCAGTCTAAATAGACCCCGCAGTTCGGAACGTCCCAGGCCCAGCTGTTTGAAACTGTTTCTGAATAGGGTATCTGAGAAGGCTTTGATGGTTCCTGAACGTTGCCTAATGGTGCCACGGCCCTTGTTAACATTCACAGACAAGCCAGGCACTAGGCACGCCAAGATCTAAGCCTCTGAGATCGCACTCAACTTGGACTCAGATCGGTTCCAAGCGGGGAAGCCGGGAAGGGCCATAAATGGAGAACCGGGGACCTCGACTCCGATGAGACCCCTCTGACTCCTCTGTGGCTTCGCGCTTCACGTGCGCGTGTCTGCCCCGTCTGCCCCGCATCCCAAAGCTTCCGAACGGAGTCCCCAACAAAGGTTCCCCTTCCATGTCTGCAACCCCGGCTGGAGGGTTCAGTGGCCTCAGGGGCCTCAGGGGCCTTAGAGCCTTAGGCATGGTGTTGTGGACATCGATGGAGGGACAGCCGGAGCCGGAAGACCGGCAGAGCCTAGTGAAGTGTTGGCTGAAGATAAGCACGTCAAGTTTGCAATCGCACATGTGGATGTGCTTTGTTATTGTTCAGACTAACTCTGTCCAGACTTTCAACACCCCAGCAACGGCCTACCCAGTCCCGTCCACTTGCCGTGCGCCATCATTCGAAAGTCTTTTTTGCAGAGCCACGCCGTTCGAGCGGCCAGCTTTCAGTATGCGCTGAGGCGCGTGCTCGCACTCAAGCCTGCACCAGTGTCGCCGCCGCGGTCATGCAAGCTTCAAGTCCGTCGAGTGGCACAAGTGGCACAAGTGGCACGAGTGATTTCCGTGATTTCCTTGCAAGTTTCGCAGGTTAGGGCCCGCCCACTTCGGCATCTGAGGATGTGGAGATACTCGAGGCACTCATGAGGTCTCACCGCAGCTTCTGCCCACTGTCGCGCTTGCTTCAGCACGTCTATTTCGGGATGTGCCAACAAAGAATGTCGATGTAAGTGTTAAAGCTCCAAGAGCTGACGGGAAGACTGGTCATTGCAAGTGCGCCAACTGCGGACCTTGGCTAACAGACACGCCGTGCCTCACCTCGCTCAGCTTCCTGCCCCCATAATGTTCTTCCAAGACTTGCATCTCCCCACAGTGCAGTTGAAATGTCCCATGCGCAGACTGCGTTTGCCAGGGGCAATCCGGAAGTGCTCTGTCGGAAGCTTTCATGGCAGCATTGGCGGCTTCGCATCTGCGCCACCACACTGGCTCAGCACACCACTTTTGCTTTGACAGCTGGACGAGTCGTGTACATACCAGACAGGCTAGCAAAACTGGCAGGCCTGTTGAAGATGATTGCTTGATCCCACTGCAGGCAACTGGGTTCCTTTTCGCAGATCTCCTTGTCGGAAAGCACTTTGGAACAGGTATGCCAGGAACAGGTATGCCAGGCAGGCGTACGAGGTAGCTGGGGACATGGGCACTGTGGCTTGCCAGGTCCATGTCGGCCATGTGAAGTTACCTTGCAGGTGTTCTTCATCTCGTAGAGTTCAGGCCGAGGCCAATGCCAAGAGTAGGAGGGAAGGAAGAGATGGGAAGAGATGGGAAGATGTGAGCACGGCCACGGCCCTGGCACGGGCACCTTTCAGGTTGGTGAGCTGCAGGAGCTGCGGGAGCGCTGACACGTCCTTGCGCGAAGACCAGCCCTTGATGAGGCAATTAGTCACTCTTCTCTCATGCAGGACTCTATTCGAGCGTGAGGCTTCGCTCGTTTAGGAACTTCACGTGGTATCGTCAAGGCTCCGCAGCCCAGCCACAGTCCCCCTAAAATCCCTACCTGCTCCATGCCCGGCCGCAGCAAGTCTTGCCTGGTGCGTACTGTGCAAGATCCGGCGGAACTCAGTAGGACCTGTCACAAGTTGAGGGCTTCAGAGCAGAAGCACTTTGGTACTCAGCCCTGGCCAGCCTCTTCAGACACAGGGCTGTTATTTCTTGCGGCAGCCACCATGTGTCGAAGGTCAAAGCAGGCAACTCGCTTGATTTGCCCTTGTGTGACTTGCACGGAGGGCATGCAGCCCAGGGCTAGACCACTTGTGGAGGCGAAACCTAGCCAATTCCATGTCCAAGAGCAGAGCCAACATGTTCCTTTCTCTGCAGTAGGTGTTCACCATGAAAACCTGCACGATGACCACGCAAGCTGTGGCCGCTGCATGTCAGTTCTTAACCTAACTAGGATTTTGCAGCTGCTCAAAGCTGGGTTCGAGGACTCCTGTCCATCAGTTGCGGTGACCAAGAAGTGCAGGCGCTAGCTGTTCCGGGAATGTTCCTGAAAGTCGTGCCAGACGAGGACGAGTACGCCATCCCAGTGCCCGACGACTTGTCACGTGTGCCAGTTCTTGGTGATGACTTGCCTCTGCTTTACTTCAGCAACATTGAAAGTTCCCCGACTGAAGCTTTCAAAGATGTCACAGTCTCGTCGGTCTGATGGCCCAGCACTTTTGGCGTGCACCCGCGGTTGCAGTGCATTGGGGGTGTCTGTCCATCCTGAGCCGAGGTCGGGAGGCTCCGATGATCTCCGGTGTAAGTGCGGTGTGAGTGGGGCATCCTTAAGCGGGCGCGAGAGTCGTAGGAGCCATGCCCTCTCCCAAAACCTTGCCGAGACCAAAAGCTACCATGCTGCCGAAGCACATGCTCTTGCTCCACATCGCATGCTCTCCTGGCACCTTCCCGTGACACGTGGTGCTTGGACTGGACGCCAGCCCCGCCAGTCCCCCCAAACCGGCATCATAGCTACAGCATCTACAGCTAGCCAGGCTAGCCAGCTCTGAGAACTTCCTGAGAACTTCCACCCCTGCCTTGTCCGCACCTAAGCCACCCTGCACCTCCACCGCTTTTACCGCTGTGTACTCAAAGCTTACAAGCCGGTGCCGGACTGGCACGTGCCCGTGTGAAAGGCTTCGCATCCCTTCGAGGGCTTCGGAAAATGTCGACACGCCCATCACTGGGACTCTGACTGCCGCAGGTCTTATGGGCCCTGTGCGCAGTCTGTCGTCGGATGTGAGTGAGATGATTTCCGTTGCTTCTCGAAGGGCGGTGCCAGGGATTGAAGGCGTGCGAGCGGTCGTTTTCCCGACAAGGAGCCCTTGTGCACCTCATGCCGCTGATGCGACGTCGTGTCTGTCCCTGGGTTGTGCTGACCAAAGCAGCACACTCCCGATCGCTGCCCCGCATGGCAACGGCGGTAACGATGACAAGGCTCCGAACAGCGTGTTGAAGGTTGATAGCGCCGTGCTTGTGTCTGTCTCGCTGGGCAGAGCGTGTGGCGTTGGAAGTCCCCCTTTTCATCGTTGCGGGTGCAAACTATGTGGAGCATCGCTTTGAAGAGCCAAAGTCGCATGGGCTGTGTGCATACGGCAATGTTGGCAAGGCCGAGAGCGCCGAGAGAGCCGAGAGGCAGTGAGGGACCCCCAAGAGAAGAGTTCCAGTGATTCCAGTGCGACCCAATTCTTGCAGAATCGCAGCCTCGGCTGTTTTTTGAGATCCAGTGACGGTCCCTTGCGACCGGATCTTAAGTTCCTCCGTCCATGTCACATGAGCAAGGTGTATGCTGTCTAGATTCCTAGATTCGAAGAGCTCGGGCTTGATGGGTGCAAGGACGCAAGACACAGCTAGCTCTCTGCAACTGAACGCCAGCAGCCGTGGGCGAAGTTTGGGCCAGGATCTGGACCTGACATTGCACCACTTTCAGCCTGGAACGCCTCTCATCTTCTCTCGACGCCAGCAGGGCCAGATCATAGGGTGGGGCTGGTTTTCCAGCCGCTCTTTCCTGCAACTGCACATGCGTGTGGGGGCGAGCGGCCTGGAAAAGAGCTTGGAGACATGCCTGGCCCAAACACCGCCCCCAGAGGTTCTGCCACCCCGATGCTTCACTCAGCTTAGCCAGCCGAGCGAGATGATGGCACTCCTAAGATTAAGCCTGCCAGCCTGCACAGCGCCTTTTCAGTGATGAGCAGGCTCATTGGCAGCACTGCCCAAGCCAACATCCTGTGCCCATCGGACTGTTATGTTGCTCAACGTGCCGCCAAACAGTGCCTCAGCAGCACCCAGGACCCAAGCTCTAGGAGGAAACTCATGACGCATGGCACATGGTGCCATTATGTTGAGCTGTACAGGCTTTTTCCAAAGCATACGAGGTGGTTGAGATTGTTGTTCCTGGTGAGTCCATCTAGGGCTCCTTGCAAGTATTGGTGCATAAATCGGTGACCGGACAAAACCCACCCCAAAGCCCGTGCCCCTCCCTTTTGGCCCCCAGATCTAGGTCTGTGCTCCGTCGACATCCAAAGGCGCCCCAAAGCCTTTCGGAAAGAGCGTGAGTTTTCATTGACATTTCCCATATTTTCCCACTTCAAGCGTCTGGCATCCGTGTGAGTCTAGAGCCACATCCCTTAGCCGTGGTGGTGCAACAACAAGCGCTTAGCCGTTCCACTTGCCACTGAGGACGTAAGACGAGACACGGTGGCGACGTCGCAGATGTGTGACCAGCCTCTCGGACTAATTCAGAGGGTCAGGGCCAGCTCAACTCCCTCGTCCGTACCTTGCTGTAGTTGATTCCTCCAGTTCTACAAGTTGAACAGGTTTCGGATTGACTCACTTTCGCCCTCAAAATTAGAGGTTGGCCTTGCTTGCGCGTCCAGACGGGATCGCGAGCTTTTTTCGTTCCAGTGCTTCTGTGTTTGACGTTAGTGGAGTTCGATTCGGAAACCCGAGCAATGAAGACGACACATTTCAAGACTCTCCAATGCTTTCATGGTGACCTCTCCAACCTCCAACAGTGTCTTGCCATTGTGCGGATGCCAATTTCCAACTCCAACAGCTCTACGCAAACGCGCGCCCGCGCACACACACACACACGCACGCACGCACGCACGCACGCACGCACGCACGCACGCACGCACGCACGCACGCACGCACGCACGCACGCACGCACGCACGCACGCACGCACGCACGCACGCACGCACGCACGCACGCACGCACGCACCCACGCACGCACGCACGCCCGCACGCACGCACGCACGCACGCACGCACGCACGCACGCACGCACGCACGCACGCACGCACGCACGCACGCACGCACGCACGCACGCACGCACGCACGCACGCACGCACGCACGAACGCACGCACGCACACACGCACGCACGCACCTCACGCACGCACGCAACGCACACGCACGCACGCACGCACGCACGCACGCCGCACGCACGCACGCACGCCGCACGCACGCACCGCACCACACACACACACACACACACACACACACACACACAACACACAACACACACACACACACACACACACACACACACACACACACACACACACACACACACCACACACACACACACACACACACACACACACACACACACACACACACACACACACACACCACACACACACACACACACACACACACACACACACACACACACACACACACACACACACACACACACACACACACACACACCCACACAACACCACACACACACACACACACACCACACAAACACACACACACACACACAAACACCACACACACACACACACACCACACACAGCACACACAGCACACACAGCACACACAGCACACACAGCACACACAGCACACACAGCACACACAGCACACACAGCACACACAGCACACACACACACACAAGCACAAGCACACACACACACACACACACACACACACACACACGCACACACACGCGCGCACACACACCACACACAACAAACAACACACCACACACACACACACACACACACACACACACACACACACACACACACACACACACACACACACACACACCACCCACACACACACACACACACACCACCCACACACACACACACACACACACACACACACACACACACACACACACACACACACACACACACACACACACACACACACACACACACTCAAGCAACCTTCCTGACAGCCAATACACACACACACACACTCAAGCAACCTTCCTGACAGCCAATACACACACACACACTCGGTTCTGGCCAAGGCTGCAGATTTTGCGGGCCTCTTCCGGACCGTCGACAACAGTGAGGACGTGGGAATGCAGGATGCGAGTGTTTTCGGTTTAAGGAGTGATGTTTAGGAATCCTGCGAGATGTCCTCGAAGTGTCACACAATCAAGACACCAGGATTACAAGCTTCATCACATCAAAAAAGGTCAGGTTGCAAGCTGTTTCAACTGTTTTGCCTGGAGGCAGCTGCGATGATTCCGTGCCTCAACGAACCCAAAAATAGGCCGAGGTCGCGCTTTGCAACCGTGAAGAGATCGGCCACGAAAATGCCCTCAGGCAACAACAAGATGCAAGAAAGCCACACATTGGCGGAGGGGGGTCCCAGGCCTCAAACGCCTGGGGCGCGCGCCTGTTCTCAATGCTTAAGGGCCATGGAAGTGAACAATGCCGCCAGGGTCCCAGAGGTTTCATGGCCACCGCCCGCATGCTTTAGCAATGGGCTGGGTGGGTTAGGAACGGGGGGGAGAAGATCAGTCTGCTTGCTCCCGACGTTTCTCGGCCGGAGGGCACGGCGAAGTTTCCAGAACATCATGAGGATTTGTGTGTGTGTGTGTGTGTGTGTGTCGGTGAGTGTGTTTATGTATGTTTGTTCCAAGAGCCCCTTTGCACCAGTGCTTGAGCATCGCAAGTCGGGGTATGTTGCTGCTTGTACTACAGTGTGTCGTAGGAGTGGCGTAGGCCTCCTGCTTGAAGGACTCTTGCAAGACGGTGACGAGGCACATGGATGTCCACGAACGCATGGAGATGAAGATGTCCCTGACAAAGACCGATGTAAGTCAAGTGGTGCTACCATCAGGCGCCTCGGGCGATGTCCCTTTGCTTCATGCCCGCCACGTCCGCTCTGGGCAGTCCGCGAAGAAAAGGGCTACGTTTCCTGGGTTTGCTTTGTGCCAGTCAGGTGTCGACTTACGCGTGGAGCTTTGCTCGTGGCCTGCGAATAAGTCGGACACGTGTCGCAAGCCTCCCATCTTCAAGCTGAGGCGCCGCCTGGCCCCAGAGCCAGGTTCAAGTCGCTCTAAGCGGCCCAATCAGGCGAAGCGCACTTTGGCGACTTTGGTGCCGTTGTTGGTTTGCAAGCCGTGGGCTCTGGAAGCACTGAAATCTGCTGCTTGGGTCTCCATCGTGTGGACGCGTACGCTCACAGGCATCCTGCGTCTTGTTTCAGCTTCCTCTTACTCTTGCTGCTTTAAGTGTGACAGAGTCCCCACACGGGTACCGGATGTGAAGATGCAGATTCCAAGGCTGGGCACTCAGAGGAAGCTTGCATGCCAGGGGCTGACGTGGCCAAGCCAGAAATCTCTCGGCGACCATGAGAACTTGCCACGGCCATTTCACAGAGGCTGCTGCGATTCCGCTCTAGCTTTTGATGCCATGCCGACCCTGTGCATCTCCAAAGCGTGTGCTTTGCTCCTCCCGCTTCCCGTGGCGAAGGCTTGCCAGCGCAGGCTCCGACGCTGACAGCTTCCATGCCTTCCTCACGTGCGGCAGGATGCCACACTCGCTACATTCCGGACACTCGGTACACTCGGTACACTGTGTTCTCTTTGCAGCATTCCATCTTGCCATCCCACAGTCTCGCTCATTCGCCTCATTCACTGCGAGATCCAAGACGTCAGCTCATGTTGAAGGATTCATCCAGAAGACGCAGGCGCAGTCTTGCTTGAGGCGCCCCAAGTTTCCGCGGCTCACCAGACAAGTGTACCAGTGGCCGAGCCCGTCGAAGGGGACGGGAGTGAAAGACATCGGTCCGCGTCCGACGTGCGCTGCCTGCATTCTGCGGAAGGCACCGAAGCCGGCAGCAGATACGCGAGGGCTTACACCTGATGCCTGAAGTCGATGCTTTTAAGAGTCAATGGGGGAGTTGTGAGAATGAAACAGTCGCAACCCGCTTACCGGTTGCCCCAGCAAATGGCTGTTTTGTTGAATCCTCGAAGGGCCACTCTTAAAGCATCTGGCAGTGCTTCCCCTACTTTTCTGAAGGCTCGTGGTGACATCCCCAGGGCTTTGCAAGGAAGCATGATTGCACGGTGCCCACATTCATCGAATTCATCGAATATCATGGCTTGCGGGCATTCTGAACTTTGCAGGTTACCTTCTTCCCATCCTATGCCCTCACACCTCACATGCTCGGAGCCCCTGGCGGCGGCATCCGGGCTCGAAGTCAAGCTGATCCGCGCAGCCCCTGGGCTCGCTCAGCCCTTGCGGTGCTTGAGTGCGGGGAGTTCGAAAGTCCTGAGAAGCAACTTGACGTCGGTGTGTGGGCACATTCGCAGATGCAACCAGTTGTCACTGTCCCTCGGCTGTTCTCCGTCTCTCCCTGGAGGAGTGATGAATGCCATTGTGAATGCCCTTGTCAGTGCCATTGTGATCGCCAGTTGTGAACGCAAGTGCGGCGTGCCGGCAAGATACAGCGGCCCAGTTTCTCCAACTGATGGGCTCGGCACCAAAAGGCCTGCTTCCCGTTTGAATTTCGTGCAGTCCTTTGCCTTGGCCTTGGAACGATGTGCCTATGAGATGGTGCATTTCTGCCGGACACCCGGAGCGGCCGTGCACGACACGAAACGCTTTGGGCTTTCTGTAGTCCTTGCAAGATCCACCCGTTCACCTCCTCTAACTCAAGCTGCCTTACCACAAACCCAGGCCAAGGCTCTGCATGCCCTGCATGCCAGGACCCTCAGATCGCATTCAGAATGGCGATGCAAATCCAAGCTGTGTTAGCGCGATGCTTATCGTGCTCCACGCCGCAGGCACACTAAGTAAGCGCCCATGCCGGGCCCATGCTATTCAGAGTTGCGTGACCAGTGCAATCAATGGGACTGTTCCTGCAGTAGACTGTCCCCTCCTGAAGCACCAAAAATCCTGGGACCTCCGGCCTGCAACGCCTTGGCGCTCGTGACAGCCCTGGCAGCTGTGAGTTGAAGGGGCCACAAGCACGGCCACTTCCACGGCCACTTCCCTCCCAGCCAGTTTCGGTGCATGCGGTGCCAGTTGCCATAGTCAAGGCGTGATTTCCTTTTACCCCACAGACCCCTTGCGCAGCTACAATCGGGCGGACTCCTTCCAGGTCCCCGAGATGCTTGCGAGGCTTCGACACCCAGAATGCCTACCGGAACACAGACCTCCGGTACCCACCCTGAGCCCCCACGAACAAAAGCTCAGCCCTGGCCCAGGGATCGTTTGCCTCGACACACCCTGCGTCAATGCGGCCGCGGCATTGGCGCAGAAAGCCTCTCAGCAGAGTGAGCATCCCCTGCCTCTCTCCAAAATGCCCTGGATGGGATCTTGGCATCCGGACAACGAAGGTCGGAAGATTCTAAAAATAGCAACTGCAACAGAGCTGCTTGCTTCTCATTTCTCCCCTCGGCCGGCTTTCTCTCACCCCTGTCATCTTCTTGCTCGGACGCGAAATTCTGCCTTCTGGCCTTCCGCACGGAAATATGCAAGTCGCAGCTATGTAAGTCGCAGTGGTGCTGCCTGTAGCGTGTTCCTAGAGCTTCAGCAGCCATGCTTCCCGGCTCCGGCACGCTGTTCCGTCGAGCCATTTGCATCTCCTTTGCTGAAGGTCTGCCATGCTGATTTAGGCGACATCCAAGCTTTGATGCTTGCCGACATTGGCGTTAGAAAAGCGAAGGAGGCATTGCCAGTGGGCATTGCTTTGTGCTCCGGTGGAGCTGTGCAAGACCTGAGTGTCCACGTCTGCCCCAACTCAGGCATTCAGGTCTCAGACAGCACTTTGTAGCCGTTGATCTGGGCCCGCACACGTTGAGACAGAGCCCGAAATGCCAATGGCTTTGGCTCACTTCATCCTCGCGCAAGGGCCTTGAGGTTGCGGCACGTCCACGGCTCTATTTGTGGTGTGGCTTAAAATTGCAAAATCTTGCAAACCCAAACCCGGCCTGCGTGAGCCGTGGACTGCACATGGGGTCAGGTGTGTCCTGTCCCTGCAATACAGCACTGAAGCTTGGCATTTAGATGTCATCAAATGTCAGCCGCGGGACCTTGCAGCGGCCACATGTGGCCATCCTGACGTGAGGTCTGTCGCCAAAATGTTTGTGAAGCCTTCGCAAAGATTGCAGAGCAGCTGTCCGCTTCAGACGCGCGTTCGCGCAGCGAGGCCCGGTGCCTTTTTCGATGGTGTCAGGAGCTCGGCCAGAACCGTGGCACTTGAAGCACCCGAGGCAAGCAAATCTCGCTTCCGTGCCAGAATCCCTTCCATCACGCTCTTACGGAAGTCGGAACGTCTTGGTGTGCAAAGGCCCTGGCAGTGCCTAGCACCTGACTTCGTCGAGCATGGGCCACAGCGGATGGCGCGCTGTCGGAAAATCATCAGCTTGCTCTCCTTGGCCCCGCAGTCCGCAAGGCGCAGCACGTGCACGAGGACGTGCGCTAGGACGTGCACTAGGATGTCTTAGCGATGCCTTGGACCTGCGAGCCTTTTGTTGAAGCATCTGAGCGCGGTCTGCAGAAAGGAGAGACTCAGCAGCCCTTGACAAATTTGGTGCGTGAGCTGTCCGACAGCTCCTGCATGTCTGCATTCCTGCGCCTGCATTGCGGGATACGGTTGCAAAATGCCGCTCCGTGCTGCTGGCACAGAGCCCGCCGTGGTGTGGCGCCTCTGGCATGGGTCCCCGCCTGCTCACAATATCTTGGCTTGAAGATTTGCGCCCCCGGCCAAACTCAGCATCTTGACCTAGGCACATCATGCGTCCAATGGAGATGTGCGGCTTTACCCAAGCCGATTCATTCGTCCCAGGAACTAAAGAGAGGCATTTTGAGCGTACTGACGTGCACTCATAGCTCACATCTGTGGGTCCTGACTCCAAGGAACATTGTCGATTTGGGAGGCGTCAGGAGTCTCGCTGAGGCTCGGGTCTCTGAGCGCGGCCGCCCTTCCATGCACGGTCTCATTCCGGCCGTGTGCACATCACCGGGCACAGTGCGCCGCAGTGCGAAGTTTCACTGCAGGCAAACAGTAACGTCCAGTGCCTTAAAGGGGTCGGCGCAAGGCAGCGGCACAGACGACACAGGACTGTTTCGAGACGTTTGGAGGTCTTGCCCTGCTAGGAGGTGCAGGTGCCGTTGCTGCGAAGATTCTTGCAAGGCTCCACGAAGCGAATCTGCAAGAAGTCGCGCATCCTTTGTCTGTTTCTTGTCTCCTTTGCCGCTGGACGGTATTGCGCTCTTGCGCTTTTCGCGCCATGGTTCACCCAAGGGCCAATACAAGGGTCGCTTTTCAGCAAGGATTCTGCGGAGCCAAGAAGAAACCGCTGCTCAGTTAGGTATTTTGGCGACACCCAGACATCACCAGATGTCCACGGCCTTACAGGGCTTGGTAGGCAGCGGCACAGACGACACAGGACTGTTTCGCGACGTTTGGCGGTCTTGCCATGCTAGGAGGTGCAGGTGCCGTTGCTGCGAAGCTTCTTGCAAGGCTCCACGTTTCGAAGCTGCAAGAAGTCGCGCATCCTTGATCCGTTTCTTGTCTCCTTTGCCGCTGGGCTGGTCCTGTGCTCCATGAGAAAGGCCTTCGCATGACTTGCAAGTACGCGCGCTTTTCAGTGCTCGAACCTGGCCAGGTAGCATCAAACACATAGCGGCGCAAGCTTTTTGCTCCGCAGCGCCAGGCAGCGCCCTCCCCATCCGATGTATTGGGGTGCTCGAGGCCTGCAATCTAAGCACAGTTGCGGTGCGGGGGTACTGCCTTCTCCTGTTTCTGAAGGGAGCTCAAGAAGCTCAGGAGAAGCAGCGGGAGGAGTGTGGACAGCTCGGCACGGCCCTCCGGCCCCTTGCTTCGGAGCTCAAGTCAAGGGAGTTGCTCTCATCATCTCCTTCGAAACCTTCTGAAGCCTTGAAACGTGCCTTCTTCGTGACCTCATGTCCAATCATAAGCCCGCATTCCCAGAACGCCAGAACGTCGGGGCCCCACTCATTCCGGACCGCTCCGGAATTGGGCGATGTCGAGTTTGAGTAGAAGGCTGGGGCGGGGTTGGGGTTGAGGGTGTCATGGATGTCGGGCTCACAAGCGATCTCCCGCCGCTGTTGATACCAGAGGGAACGGATGATCTTGCGTGTTCCTTGCTTCAGAGCTCAGCAGGAGTGAGTAGCTCTGCTGCATACGCACTCATGCGGCGGCCCCTCGATCAGCACCGTGCCCGCCTTTGATCCAGTCCTGCCCTCGCTGGCTTGACTCGTGGAAAAGTCACCCTGCGTCCCGGCCTGGTGCTTGAAGTCTTGGGCGCTGTCCCATCTCACCAAGAAAATGCTGCAGTGTGCAGCATGCACAGACTCTGGAAACTCGGCTCTTCGTGCTGTGCTCCTTGTGCTTGCTGGTGGTTCGGGGGCTTGTGGGACGACCCTGTTAATTCCGAGTCTGTATACATATGTCACTGCAGTTGAGCCATCCCCACTTCCGGTGCACGACATGAGGAGGTGACCTGCCCAAGCGCAGCATGGAAGCC